TATTTTTGTATCTGTGTTAAGATTTTCATATATTTTATATTGAATTTGATTTTTATAATAAAATATTACATCATCACATTATAACAATTGAAAATTTTAGATATAATTAATTGGTAAATTACAGTTATTTTCAAAATATATAAGACATTTGGCAAATTTTAGGTGCTGAGTGTTTTAGTGATCAGGTAGTCAGGTAATTAGCAATTGATAAATAACAATAAATGTATAACATCTGATTATAATATTACTTTATTATTTACTGTAAAAAATTATTTTACTGTAAAATAAAATATACATGTAATGTTTATATAAATGCTTAAATCAAAAATAAATGAATATTTTTATTAGTTAATAGTTAAAAGGGTCTTAAAAGGCTTATCTTGTAAAGCAATTGAAAGATAACTTAATATTAGTAAATCTTCTATTTCTTAAATTTTTTTGCAGTTTAAAAAATATGGTTGTATAGAAGATTTATTGCCATTAAAATCAAGACGTTCAAGAGTTCTTATAACTGATAAAATAAAGTACTTAGAAAGCATTTTAAAGGAAAAGATAGACTAGCATTTGTAAGAGTTACAGTCTGAAATGGAATTATAGTTGAACTATTAAGTTAGTTACTGTACTATTTAGAGAATAATATATCATCTTAATTATATACATAAACAGGTAAATACTTTTATGAATGCAATTTTACAGTCAATTTATTTATCTTAATTATTTTTAAGTGTCTAAACTAGCAAAAAAACATAATGAAAATGATTGATTAAATTTTATAGCATATATTTTACAATATTCTCTATTATAACTTATATTTTCTGATAAGTTAGCTTATGATAAAGAATACTTTTTTGATGTTATAGATGAAATTTCAAAGGGAGCATGTATATAAACCTACAATTTTTATTTATGAAAAAAGATATACTATAGAGGGAGCATTGTGTCTTAATGATCTTTTGGCTTATACAATTTAAGATTGCCTTATGAATAGTAATTATTATAATTATTTTATTGAGCATATTTTGGTAATTATATTATATTATATATTGTATATTAAATATTTATAATAAATCTAATAATTTTTATTAAAGTTGCCTTAAATGAATCAATATCCTAATCCTTACAGTATTCTGATATTAGATAATGCATCTATTTATAAATGATAATTTTTACTTAATATTTGTAATACAAAAGAAATTCATGTTGAATATTTATCACTATATTCATCAGATTTAAATCCAGTATGTAATATTTATTATATAGCATATTAAATTTTTTTTTATGTATATATATTTAAATATTTTATTACTATAATAGATAAAATAAGTATATTTTATATAAAAAATAATTTACGTCAAAATCAGAATTGGATTAAATTTATGTAAAATCCTATACAAGATTTCTATTTTACATGTATAAGTATCAATAAAAATTTATCTAAAGCATATTTTGAATATAATATATACATATAAAATTTATTAAATAATAAAAAAAAAAATAAAAAAAATAATAATTTGTCAATTTAATTATTTATTATTATCAAAAAGTTCATCAAAATTAACAATTATTTTTCTATATCAATCTATAAGTTAATATATAATTCAGAAAAATTTTTTTTCAATTGTTTGTTCTGATAAAAAAATCCTTTTATTTACATCATATGAAGATTTAATAACAAATCTTTTTCCTTCTAGAAGACCCATTGGAAACACAAATGTAATGAGATCATAAAAAGTTATTTTTTTGATTATTTGTATATTTGATTTATACAGTGATTTTTTTTTGAGATGAATAGTAACTAAATTAGGTTTTGTTCTTTTTAATAATATATCAGTTGGAGATGAAATTGGAGTTGTAATCTTTATAGCATATATATTATATAATAAAATTAATTTAATATAATAAATTAGTATAATAATAAAATTATTATTGATAAAATTACCATCAATAGATATAATATTACTACAATCTTTCAAAGGTTTTTGTTCTTTAGAATTTGAATAATAATATTTAATTCTATTAAAATTCTTAATTTATGGTAGATGAGTTATATCTATTCTATTAATTTTAGCAATCTAAAATATAAAAATCTATTATTTTTAATTAATTTAATTAATAATATTTATATTAAATTTAATTTCTTACCATTGATCTTGCCTAAATAGTAATTATTTTATTATTTAACTTAAGATGACGTTTATCCTTTATAATTAAACAACCTTAAATATGATATTCACAGTTTGGAAGATTTTTATATATTTTTAGTTTTGTAATATCTAATAATGAATTAAAAGAATCAAATTCAAATCCCTAATTCAAATTAAAATTTTTATTAAATATAAATAAAATATATATTATAATAAATATATAAATAATTAAATACATCTTATTTGAATTTTTTTTTAATGCAGGTTCTTCTATATTATCTTCAATTATAGAACTTCCACAAATTACTTGTTTTCTTTATTTTATTCAGAATATATACATAATTGTACATTCTTTCTTTTTAATATTCTGCAACAAATGCAATAATAGCATCATTAAATTTTAAGTCAAACTGATCTGCTTTAGTACTAGAAGATTTTTGATAACATATAAGACCAAGTTCTATTTTTCCCATTCTTTTGAAAGGTCATGAGATAAAATTTCTTCTTCAATTTGACCAAATGTATTTAAATTTTCAAGATTATATGAAATGTCAATTGTCTCATCAAGTTTTTTCGTGATTGTTTGAATTTATTATAACAGACCAATGCAATATATCCTATATTAAAAAAGTTTAATTTATAAGCTTATTTAAATAATAATTAATAAAATAAAATTGATAAAATAATTATTACTTACGTAATTCAGTTTTTTAGAACTTTAACTTAGAAGGTAGTATATGGTTTGATAAACTTAGTATTGGTAAAGTTAATGGACTTGTTAAGTCAATACATTCTTTTGGAAAAGAATTTGTAATTTTCATAACCTTCTTATTTTTCGTGACTTATTAAATAAAAAAAAGAGATTATAACATAAATTTATCTTACAGAAAATAAAATTGTATAACATAAAATATATCTACCTTTATTTTTACCACGATATTTATTCATACAATTTAAGCAAATATTCACATTATCTTGGGATAAAAGTTTAATATATAGAGAATTATTAGCAAAGACTCAAGTGACTTGCTTAATGATAAATTATCATCATTACATATTTTAGAAATTGACTTTTTTTTAGCTCATTTTATTTTATAATTAAGAAATTAAAAGGAAAATAAAAGTTCAAAATGAAAGTTATTTATGAGGACGATTTTAGTTGAATTTATATTTTTTTAAAAAAATGCAGTAGTTTTACAAATATTTATATTATTACTTTCTCAAATATCTCAAATATATCAACTATCTCAGCAGCCTATGGAACTATATTTTTAGAAAAACTTTTGATAAAGTTGGTTAGGACCATATCGAATGTCCGGTTGATAAAACCTCAAAGGATACCTGAAAACATTAATAATGCTCAGATTGCTGCTGATAATTAAGTATTTTAATTACTTAAGGAATTACAAGGAGTATTACGATCTGTAGGATTTACTTCAGAACTACATGAAGCAAAATTTGTTGATTTATCTACCTTTACAGGAGGAGATCATATGTACATGCCATGCTAAAAAATTAAGATTCATCTCGAATCTTTGTCAAGGATCAAGCAGCTAGAATGGCATTTTTGACGTTAGATTCCAAGTAGCTGACAAATATCATTTGTCAAATTTACAACAGATTGCTAGAATTGAAATCTTCAATAGATTAAGTACGATAATTGCAAAGCATCTTTTATTTAACGATGCCTGGAAATGGAATGAGCTTAAATATGATATGGATTTCATCGTAGAAAATTTTCAAAAAATACAAGAAACCCTGAATTTAAAAAGCTGTCAGCTGAGATTTGATAGTAACTGTAGAGTTATCGGCGATTACCCTGAAATTACATTATAATTATCCGGTTCAGATAATTAATCTTTTGCTGTTGCAAATTATTCCACAGCAAGTATAATTATCATATGCGGACGTGTAATTATAAGGGTTATCCTGCGGGAATCGAAATCTTTCAAGAAATGGTGGAAATTTATTGAAAATTCAAATAACGAAAATAAAGCGATTATTGGCATTTTGTAGAAAATTTTAAAAGAACGAGTACGATGAATGCAATGCATCTTTTATTTAACGAAGCCTGGAAATGGAATGATCTTAAATATGATATCATGGATTTCATTGTAGAAACTTTTCAAAAAAATACTAGATACCTGAATTTAAAAAGTTGCCGGCTGAGAATTGATAGTAACTTTGGAGTAATCGGTGATTACCCTGAAGTTACGTTATAATTATCCGGTTTAGATAATTAAACTTTTGCTGTTGCAAATCACTCCACGGCAAAGTATAATTTCATATGTGGCCGTGTAATTATAAGGGTTATCTGCGGGAATCGAAATCTTTCAGGAAATTGTGGATAATTTGTTGAAAAAATCATTAAAATAAAGCGATTATTGGCATTTGTTGTTTATAGAAAATTATAAAATAGCGATCATGTGGGAAGTAAGCTATTAAATCACGTTACGGATCATATGATTTACTATGTTAGTATTTTAATAGCAAACCTCCCATATTTTTTAGTTTTTTTAACAAGAAAAATTTTTTTTTTTTTATTTTTATTAATTAAAAAAGATTTTTTAATAAAAAATAATTTTTGATTAGAGGTTCATTTTAAAAAATTATATTAAAGCTTTTATTTTGTAGATAAAAATAAAAATTGGAAATTCACTCTAATGCTTCCTCCCATTTGCAAATGATCCGATCAATCAATTTTCATTACTTTTATTACCGATCTGCCAATCGTTCCATGTGATAGATTTTCATCTGGCTTGCTAAATAAGATCGATGCGTCGTTAGAAACATTTTGGATTTTTTTTAGGTTCCGTTAAATGAAAAAAACTTACAAACAATTATTTTTATGCCTCTCTACTCTCGTATTTTTGGCACGGATGAAATTAACTAATATAATAAATAAAATTATGAGGTAAGATTTTATCGTTAGTAATAATTTAAAATAGAAAAAAATATGTGCCTGTTCTTCAGTGATCCCATCAAATATACTTTGTTCTATTTTTTTTTCAATTACAGTATGATGATTTGCGCGTGGTTGATCATCACGAAACCTTTTAAATCTCCATGGTGGATGAATTGAAGGGTTATAAACTGCTTCAACAATACGTCCTTCATATTGTTGAAAATCATGTTTCCAACTTTATGCGAATGAAACATTTGGTTAATCAACATTGTTGTCAATGAATAAATTCAGTAAAGTCGTTAATTACTTACAATTGCTCCCACACTTCATCGGTAACATATATATTATCAAAATATTTATGAACATCCATCCATTTATAAAGACAAAATCTCGGTTTATTATTCTTGTTATGGCGTTTAAAATCGAAACTTAATTTAAGGTCAATAGAGTTTTCATTTGGTGGTTTTCATTTTAATATTTTCTCTGCCGAATAACCCGATGTTAATGATGTAAAAATTAGCCCATCGCAGTTGTGCTTTAAAGATGGTATAATTTGTTTTAAAACTTTTTCTAGACCATAAGAACGTTCCATTTCTTTATTTCCTACACTTTTGAATTAAAATTTTTTCATGTATGGAAGAACAAAAAGGTTAGAATTGATCATTTAAGTGACAGGTAATTGGAAAAATAATACAATAACACTTACTTAAATGGTTGAATAATCGCAAGGTCCGGACGTTTACGCAGCATATTTTCATAGGGGCTCATTATATAATCACGAAGATACTTTTAAAAATTAAAGAATTGTCAATTAATATAAATAGAATTATAATATAAGTTTCCATATTCTATGCAACTTACACCCAATCTTTTGTTTAGAGGCTTATTCATGTAGTTCGTTTTATCCATTACTAATAAATCAAAAAACAAGAGCTTTGGAGTAATCTAAATAAGAAAGTACAATAAAACATCAATGAAACATCAACGAAAACTTATGATTTCAAAAATAGATAATAAAAATATTTACACGCCCATCGCTTTCGGTTTCATAAACTAATTCACAATCCAATAACGTTTCATAATGAAATTGTGAAAAGCTTTCGTCACCAGGAACAGGAAAGATTAAATTTGGTATTAGGTGATAGTAATTTTTGCAATCGATCTGTATTATCTTCGTTTAGTAAGTGAATTCTTAAGCCATTAAAAGTACAAAGCAGATCAAACTTTTAATAAAATAATAATACTGACCAAAAAAACGGCTGGTTTTCCAGGACTGTCACATGTAATATAAGCTAATACACGCGTTCTGTACGATTGCTCACAAACATAATAACTAAAAAAAAGATCAACGATTTTAGTTATTTATTTTTCAAAAAGAAAATCTTTATGAATCACTAACTCTTCATTTTGCAATTCCTGTATATGCTTGGAATAGAAACTAGTTGGTTGCGCACCTGTTAAATAAAAAACAATGTTAGTGATCTTAATAAGTATTAGGATGGATAAATAAATGAATATCACACATACCAGGGAAACTATAAAAAAAATATATAATAAGAAAATTTGATTTGATAAGAAAATAAATCAGTTTGTTAATAGGAGACAACGAAAAAAATGCCAAATTCATTGATAATTATTTCGTTATTTCTGCCAAAAACCGCTCCGAATACTTTGAATTAAAAAAAAAAAAACTACTAACTTTGATACTCCAACTAACACTTCAACTCTTGACCTTAGTTCTTTAAGGCGTATAGTTTCAACAGGATGTCCTGGGTCCCTTGGTACTATTGGAAAAAGAAAATAGAATCATTAAGGAGTGATTTGAGCAATAATTATCATCATTGCGGATTTTAATACTAGACTAGTAATACAAATCTAGTATAAAAGAAATAAACACCCTCAGTTCTCTTTTTTTTGAACATAAGTAAAATTGCATTCTTACGGCTTTTTATTGAACCATATATTTTGGTGTTCTGGCTGAAATAACTAAAATATTGTTAAAAAGAAAGGAAATAAGCATGGATAACATAATCTTCAAGTAATGTTCTTTCTTTACTCACCTTTGTGAAAACATTTTAAACATGAGTAACAAAAAAAATAGTGAAGGAAATTTAAACAAGGAAAGAGTAAAAAAAAAAAATTAAAAGTGATGGAAAACAATTTAAGATAGATCGTGGCCAATCAAATCATTTTTGATAAACGCGTGTTTAAGGTTTAAAATGTCTATCACCAATTTCCAAAATTATAACGCGTCTACTGACTATAATTCTAGAATTTCTATGATAAATTTATTACGTAGAAAATATCTTTTCATTTATTCTTAATTGTTTTAAATAAATACCTTCTTTTCGACCAAATAATAAAGATTAAAGGTTCTTTACGAATTATAATCTCAAAAGAATTATACGCTTATTTTATTAGACACGTTTTTATATTAACATTTTCTTAAACTAACATCGCAGGGAACATCAACTACCCATACAAAAAAAACGGATGGAAACAAGTCTAAAATCGAGAAAAATATCCATGATCTTGTATTGAGCTCTGTTCCATAAAAATTCAATAAATAACTGATAATTTAATTTAAAAATTATCAAATTAATTAATTGAATACTTGTTTGTATCACGCGTAAAAAAAGAATTGATGAAAATTTGAAACTCTCCTAGTTCAAACAACATCAAAAATGGTATTTTTGATTATAGCAAATTTCATTCTCAAATGAATCTAACGTTTATAAATTATGGTATTAAGTAATCTTTTAATCTTTGGAGTTTGACACTTGCCCAAGAATTAAAGCATATCAACCAAATGCAACTTGAACACGAGAAATTGCAAGTATTAACAATGACGATAACAATTTTTAATTTAAAGGCTTTTGAAGGAAGAATCAAAGTTTTTAAAAGAAGTAGAAGAAATTGACGAATTAATTAAACTTCATTTTAATTGAAAATAATTTCATATTTTACGGAGTTTGCGTATCATCTGAAAGTAACCAGCTTTATAGCTCTTTCTTCCATTTATTGTTTCAATATACTTTGGATCCCGGTTTTACGATATTAAATTGTATCGATTTATTAATGCCTCTGATTTATAACTGTTATAGTAATAAGGTATTCTTTCATAAGTGTGTATCTGTCCATGTCATGATAATATCTTACAGAAACTTCAATTTATAAACCGTTCCCATCTGCATGGAGATAATTATAAAGGAACTATATATAACATAATAATAAATTCATATATAATGAATTAAATACATTATTATGTACCATTAGTATCATGTGCAAACAAAATTTTCTTCTTGAACTATTTTAATTGTGTAAGTTATCTGTTTTTCCACCATTCCGGAACGGGCGGTGCTGATGAATAGTTTGAGCTAAAGAATCAACATCCATTGAATTACAAATTATCAAGCTGATCACGTGCTGCTTCGATGTTTTTAATTTTAATGCAATGAATTATTAAATTAATTATGAATGCGATAGAAAATTATTTTATTAGGATGGTTTGGAATCATGTCCACCTTAAATTTCCTTCTAAAACATTATAATATTGCTCTAAAGCCTTACTAACAATCTATTGTAGAAATTAAATTAATAAAGATTACGTATGTATGATGTAGTAAAAATTTCCTTATTAAAGTCATACCCTAGATATCCTCGTTGTATAAGGAAACCATTTGGCCAGTTTTATTGTTTAAGAAAATCATAGTTTATTAAAGATGTGAAAAGATAAAATCTATTACGGAAGAAGAATGGCTATCTGTAACACTTACAACTTTGCACTGTTTACAGTAAAATTAATGTAAGAATAATAGAATAACTGTACTATTATAATTGAACTTTACCTAACTGTCATTCTAGAATCAATCATAGAGATCATAGTTTCTAACCATTACGAACATGTACAGTATATCATTTGAATTTTTAATATAATCAAAATCACTTATAAAACAAAAATCAAATTTCATTATTAACGAATTGTTTAGAACGATAACTCACTCACCCATGACATATTTCTAAAGAGAATTGTTTGATAACGTAAACTTCCCTGTATAATTCAAAAATATCATCAATGGGAAATTTTTCTTCAGGAAGCCATTGACTTTATTTAAAGATTTCAGATGTAGCATTTCCATATCGCAATAAAAATAGGTTACTAACCGTAAAGTTGTCCCTTAGATATTTGAATTGTTAAACTGCAGACGAATTTGTGCGCAAACCGTTTAGAGTATAATTAAGAATAAATCTGTGATTAAAAGTTTGGGAATTTGATGCGTAATTTTAAATCTTCTTGAAGAACCTCATTAGCAGCTTGATTTTAAATTTTGTCTTTTTATTGTAATTTTTGCGCTACTTCCTTTACATTAAAATAACTAATAAATTTAGAAAAGGTACTACCAACAATAATAAAGCATAATGTAAAGGTACTTACAATAACACGAGATCTATGTTCATTATACAATGATGATTGAACGTTAGAATATTTACGTCAAAGACAAAATTGGATCATAACTTGATGTGATAATCCATTTTTCAGGACTCTTAATAAAAAGTCACGAATTCCCGAAATTAATTAAAGTACCCTTTTACACCATAGAAAAATTTTTTGTTTATAAATTACTTACAGTATATATAAATAAAAGAAATCAGAATAAAAATAGAAATACAAACATCAGAATAGTCCATGTATTAAAGGCCGTTTTTTGATTGCATCATTCAATAACAATCTGAAAATTGCTTTCGGGATAAAGACTATCATATCGACTTTTGATCGCGCCTAATATAGAAACCATCTTAATGCAGGCAAAACTCACCGACGTAGTCCAACTTATTAAGAAAATCCAGAGTACTTTTCGAAATGTATCATCATCATCGTAATCTATACATTTTTTTTATACATCAAATATTGTAGTAATTACGAGGATTTTGCGCGCAATAAAAGTAAAAAATTCTCCCTGATTAATTGAATAAATGAAATAATTAAAGGGTATATTAATATACATATATCTGAACTATTTAATAATAAACACAAATCCCAATAGGAGGATTAGGTGCTTCTTTAGTGAAATATGTGACGGAGAATTATAAGGAGAATATGGGCGTTTTGTGTTATGAATGTGTTAATTGATGATGTTGATTATTATTTATTGTATTAATAATATAAGATGTTTGTTGATTACTATATGGTGGATATGGTGTTTATTACTGTTATGGTAAATGATTGTAACTATATAATAACCTGGTGTTGATGTGGAAGACATTGTGAACCGATAGAACGTTCTCATATTGATGAGAAGCATCGTTTATAGTTTCGATCCTGTCGTTGCTGTTCGTCGCGGATTTGATGCTAATGATTGTGATAACGTATTTCTGTAAATATTTTAAACCTAATTTTGGATTAAGTTCAATCAACTTTACCATTGATATTTCTTCAACATTTATACTAATAAATTTTAGGTCGGTGATGCTTTAGGCTTACCAGAATTCTTGGTAAAATAGATTTCTAGTCGTGCCATCCTTTCAGGGGTTATCGATGGAGGTTTAAATAGTTATTTTTTCAACATGTTCGTATTTGAGTTTTTTTTAATTATCCCTTAGCAATTTTGAGATAAGCTAAAACAAAAGTCCTTTAATTTTAATTTTAACTTTAAATTGCTTACGAAAACTGGATTGTTGTAAATCATGATAAAAAGACCTTTGTAAATAAGGATCCTGATACAGTAATCTGGATTCCGGTCTCAACCGATCGTAATGTCTTCAATTTTTCTTAAAATATATTCATTTACTCCTTAGGTATTTTATTACATTTCGTTGCTTTTTCTCATATCTAAAATACTTGAAAGTTACGAGATGACTTGTTCAAGGGTTTTTTTGCTTGAATCTTTATAAAATATATAAGAAAAGTGAATTAATAGGGAAGAGAGTAAAAACCATTTTTGTTTTTTTTTTTTAGAAAAGTATTTTTAAACGAAGTATTTAAATGTTTGAGGAAAGGAAAACAAAGTGAGATCCTCTAATCAATTATGCGACCTCGGATTTCGTGGTCAAAACTCATCCTTTTCTTAAGCACTTGTAGTATCTTCATGTCTCCTGTTTTTTTTTTTTCGTAATAGGAAACAACGTCCTTGAGAATATCCACGACAAAGTCTTTAATGCACGACCAGGAGAATTTTTATGTCACCTGATATTTGCTTCTCTTCGAATTACTGGTCTTGATCTCTCTCTCTCTCTCGCGATTGCTTTGATATATACTCGCAAACTTTTCAAAGAAATCACAACATTAAATTACAATATACCAATAAGTAAGAGTTCTATAATTTAAGTCAAATGAGACTTATATACTACGGTAATGATATGAAAATATACTTATCCATGTCGCATCAAGCTAACTTGAGCGTCCTTTACTGCCTTTTGAACTTGAGCGTGGTGTCGGTTTCTCAACTTATATTGACAATAATAGTTTCTTTTCTTTCTTTCTTTTTTTTTTTTTTTTTACCTTTCCTATCAAATAAACTAGCTTTAATATATCAAAAAAAAAAAAATTTAAAACAAAAAATAAATTTTTTTTTAAAAAAAAATAACCTACAGTTAATGTCGTCGTTTATTATGTCTTAATTTTGCCAAAGTTAATATTTTACATTTCAAAACTCGATAATCGTAATTTCAATTCGTCTTAGTAGAAAAAAATTATACCAAGAGTATAATATTCAAAGCTAGAAGAAAAAGTTGGAGGATCGAGATTTAAGGAGTAGTCAATGTCCTTGTGCAAAAAATATTTTAATTATATTATTATTTCGGTGTTGTTGTCTACGTTGTAATTATTTTACAATAATGCATAGCAAGGTTAAAAGAAAGATAGGAGTTTTTCCAAGATTTCAAAACTTGTTTGCATCAACTAACCACGTGTATGAGATGCCTTCACGGAAGCTTTCACTAGCAACTGGCTTAACCGCCCTTGTAGAATTATCTAGTTTTTAGGTCAAATGACCATCCACAATTTGGTGTACATCTGTACATAGTAACATTGAGTAAAAACATATCGAACATTGCCGTTTCTCATTTTAATCTTTATTTCATCGGTTCATGCTTGGATTACCATAGGTTTATCTTATAAAATATGCGACACCATCTTTACTGAACATCAACGAGTACGACGCTTACATTTTGTAACATGGAAAAAAATTTTTCTGTTGAAAAATAAATATTTATATATATGTTTCGAGATCGGCATAGAATATATCTATCTTATCTGGTGTCATTCTATTTAAACTAAATTATATTCCTTTTATTTTAGAAATAATAGGGTAGGATCTGTCACATACTCCCATTTCGCTGCAGCCAATCCAAAATCCCGTATTAATTTTAATTTATTATTTAAATTTACATTACGAAAATACTAATTCAGAATAAGTATATATTCGTAATAATTTGAGTAATAAATTATAAATTTAAATTTAAATTTAAATTCAGAAAAAGACCTCAAAAATTAGAATTAGCCTGATTCGAATGATCCGAATAATTCGAATGAAATTTTATTCGAATCATTGTAACGCCGATCTTAAACGAAAGAAATTAAATTGAGACTAAAAGTAATGACAATAAATTTAGTATAAAAAAAACTCTCTTTAACCTTTTCCCCCAAGTTAAAACAATATCTGTTCTTAAAAAATTTATTGGAAACCGAGAAACTTTCAACATATGATAATGATAATTTGCACATTTATTGAAATTTATTTCTTTAAAAAAAAAATATATATATATATAAATAAATTAGTGCCAGTTTTGAATCCTCCTGCTCCTACTAGTGTTAAGATAAATATCCTTTGCCCAACCAATAAAATTTATAATAATTTAAAAAAATAATTTACTTGAAAAAATATATTAGTTCCAACTTTGAGTTTTACCCTATCAAATGGTAAGATAAATCATACCTTATCCCATAAATAATTCTATGATATTAAATTCAAATATTTACTAAAAAAAAAATAATTAATTACGCCAGATTCAAATGCTTTTATCAAATGGTAAGTAGATATTCGTACCTTTGCCCATCAATAAATTAACTAATTAATCACTATTTCAAAATATTTTTCTTAAAAAAAAAAAAAAAAATAGCGCAAATGTTGAATGTTCTTGCACCATTAATAATATTTTAAATAATAATTTTCTAAAATATAAAATAAAATTGAATAAATAAATTAAACGTCAGGTGCGAATGATCTTATTACACTAGAAGGTAAAGATAATTTATTACAATTTCCCATCAATCTATATTACTTTAATAATTTTCAAAAATTCTTACATTGTTAAAATTTGTTTCATAAAAATTAAAATTACGCCAGGTTCGATTGTCGAGAATACTAATTATGGCAAAGAAAATTTTTTTTTTTATGTATAACATAATTATTTTTATAAAATCATTTAACCTTATCTTGTAGAAATAACGTTTACTAAGGGATCATATGCTGTCGGCACATTAGATATTATATACAGCGTAATGGTATCGTTTTGAAGTTTATAACGGAGGTAACTCAAGTATTTAATGAAATTATGAAAATATATCAATCAGCTGAGCATAATAAAAGAATATGTGGGATATTGTTGGATAGAGTCCAAATAGCTGATACTGCCGTAAGTAATTTAAAAAATCGTAGAGATGAAAATGTAGAATTTTTCAGAACATAATCTCATTCAGTTACAAAGTTTGGTTAATGTCGTCGGTAAAATACGTAAGCTTGTTGAAGATATTTCTCAGGTAACAGGTTTAGCCAAGTATATTCAAGCTATAAATATTGAAAATAGTGTTAATTATTTAAGTAGGGAATTCGATTCCAATATAAAAGCATTGCACTTTTCTTTTCTTTGACGGTCGATTTCGGTATAAATGCCCATAAAGCAGCAAGGATAATGAGATTTAGTCTGGTATCAAAGAATTTTTAAGGTAATGTGTGATATGCATCAATTAATTTTTCTGTATTCACAAATTCTCTATCATATAGTACCTTGAAAATATCGGCAGTGGTGTAACTGACGGGAATATATGATCTCGGAAATGCTTAAGCAATTTATAAACTTGATAAGATAATACTGATGCACTTAGAAGTGAAATACTCAACTTTAACGATTTCGAAGAAGAAGAACTTGATGTGAATCAAGGTTAGAAAATACAAATGAGAAAGATAATGATTTTATTGCATTAAAATTTGTGGCTGATAAAAATAGCAGTATGCCAGAAAGGATAAATTTAGAAAGAAAGTTACGATTTTAAAAAATATTGGAAACATGACATTGTATTATTCAATTTTTTGGTTTAACTGCGTATGATGATAAATTTTACTTGGTAACTGAATGGGCTGATAATGGAAATTTACGTGAATATGATAAACGGTATGGTAAACTTAAAGTTAAGGTGAAATTAAGATTTGCTCTTGACATTGCTAAAGGCTTGAATGACTTAAGCTCTGCTTCGGTAATTATTATTTAATACTAATATTATTATTTAATTCTCTATCATCCCTTAATTCTAAAAGAAATCATTTGTCGTTTTCAGATCGTTCATCGTGATATTAGAGTCGAGAATACCTATCAGAAGTTGGCCTAGATTGTAAATTTTAAATCAAGTTGAGCAATTACTGATGGTACAGCAAATCAAGCTGCCACACTAGAAGCTGTACGGTATTGTGCACCAGAAAAATTAGAGAAAAGGTAAATCTATAATTATTAAAAATGAATTTCTTTAATTAAAAATTACAAGTATTATATAGCTTGAATCTCAACATGAATATAAACGACATTAAATACAGAAATATTGAATTCACATTTGAGTAATTTATGACCTATTATGTACATTTTAATTGATTAATATCACAATTTTGATTATGGTTTATATCCCATCCAGTACTTTCTTTATCAGTTGAACATATATCAAAGGTATCTCGAAGAAACTTAAGTTCATTTATTTGGCTATCTGCGGCAGCTATTACACAGCTATTAGTATCATTTCCGACAATTGGACAATAAACATGACCAGAATCACCACAAGGTTGTCCGCAAAATGAAGGTTTTGGATCACATATTTCAACATTAAACTTTTGTAAGGTAACGCTTATTATTGATGCCGCCATATTGTTATATGTACTTTGTTTAACAAAAGTATACAAGTCATCTTCATTGCCAAGTATTTGATCATAATTCACTCCTTGATTAATAGTAAAACTAGCTAATATTGACTTGTTTGCACTAAAAAAATTATTGTGTAATGTATCTTCAAAATGGAATTGGAGATGTTCATTTGCAGTTGATAGATATGATGATATATCTAATGGTTTTGGCTAGCAAATGATTGATGAACATTGTCCATTAAACTTGGAAGAAAGTATACATTCATCATATTCGTCGTAAAAAATCCTATATTATCCTCCGTATCCTTCGTATCCTCCGTGTCCCTCTTTTTGTGATGACGACGGGACCGGGTCGACCTCTTCAAAGCACCAAGGATT